TATTTTAGCAGGGCACCTCGCTCGCCCGAAATGTATACATTTATTTGTTAGCGGAGTTTTGACGAAACTACTTAACTATACATGCGCGTATTAAAATTTTATTCGCGTTACTCGTATGTTTTTTTCCCCCTCCCCGTTTAAATTATTCCTTTTTGTTTCTCGCACACACGGTATATATATAGTCCGAAACAAGTCCGATACAGCCGCTACAGTTAGTTACGTACCAGGGCAATAACGATCGCTGGCTGGTAACGAGATTTCACGCGGCTAAAAGTGAACGAGTGCGGCATTAGAAGAAATTCTATTGCAATTCATATTTAATCGGTCGCGCTCTCGCTTAATTCCGCGGGGAAAATTGCAAAAGTAAAAAGCCGTGAGGGTCATTACCGCACCCGTCGCCCTGCATTTTATACCTGCGCGATCTTATGGAATTACATTTATAGTATTAATCCCTATTTCGCAATTTCGCGTTAACTACGTTGTACATAAGATTCCCTCCAGGGGCACATCGAATCTAAATTGGTTTACAGGAGTAGGAAATGTACGTAAAGAGATTTAATAACGATAGCAGCGTGTTATTTGCAATTTCTCGGTAAATCTTACGTCGAATCACGTCCCTTTTTTTTTTCTTCAACTAGGAGTGCCGCCTTCCCCTTTGTTTGCTTTTCATCGGGCCGATCAATCTTATAAAAGTGGCTTTTTAATTCCCAATCGTAACATTTCCATTATTTCGTCATTTCCGTGCAATGCCGGTTCCCGGTACAGGAAAACTACTTTTACGATTTCTTATTCGCAACTCTTTCGGGCGATTGTGGCTTCGCATTACGAGGAAACTTATTAGATTAACTAGACTATTCCGACAAATTCGATAGCGATTGTCAATTGCGCGAAATTAAGTTCGCAATATCGGATCTATTTTTTACACGATGTAAATTTAAAGCCTTAAAACTGAATTTATTTGTAACTTCCTCTTTTCTAGTTTACAATATCCTATTTTTCATTACTGGATTAATGTTTAAAGTAATACGGTTTGTTTTATACGAATCATGTAACTGGAAAATTATCTATCCGACAGAGACATTAAAAACTTTACGTTAAATTTAGAACTGAAGCATATTAGAGCAACAAAATAGTAATTAGTTTTCAATCGAAAATCATAATGTAATAAAACGTGTTGTACAGATTTCGCGAAATAATCAAATTAATTTATTATATTTTACGATTGTACCGAACAAGTTATAATATCGAATTTCATTGACACAATAAATAGATTAAATTATATGCAATTTTGTCGCAATAATAAATTCAATTAAGTTCTTATCGTACTTAGTTAATTCTCTTGCAACTTTTTCCTCAAATAGAACGTATGAAAGAATGTAGAGGGAAAAATACTGCAAAGAATAAAACTTTATTGTTGTCAATAAAAAGACGATATTTTTTTAAATATAAAAGAGAAAGAGAGGAAAAAAGAGATATGCGTATACATTTGTTGCAATTTCCGAGTAGACAATAATTTAATCTTTTAAAACTACTTTCGAAGTACTTTGGACATTTTAAATTGTTGATCATGAAATATTTTTTCTTTCTACTTGTTTTTATTTATTCGTAATGCAGCAACGTGTACTTATGCTGCAACAAGCAATAATAAACAATAAAATGACGTTACAATAAGTAATAATATTTATATCGATAGACAGGTAATTATCGAATGTACAACTTCTCTGCGGGTTGTCAAATACGTCACCGTCTCGCAGCATTTTATCCACTTTGTCGTTGTCAGAGCTCATAGTTGCAATAAAAAAGCAATTTAGTTTCTTTATGTTATGGAGGAAAATTTAATTTCTTTCTGGTATAACAAATGACACTTCGATTGAACTTTGATGGTATTAAGAAGTGAAGAATATCGCGCAACGAAAACACAATGAGATTTTGCATATGTGCTACACTCTGTGACTCCTGTAATTTCTAGTTTTAAAATTAGAATCGTTTTTAACGTAGGTCCAACTATAACACGAGATAAGTGTTAAAAAATAAAATTTAAACGTGAGCGTGCGCTTTTCTCGGATATTAATTTTCGTCAAATTCTCATGCCATTACGTCAAGGAAATTTTTCGCGAGCATAATGGAGGAGTAACGAGAACGCGTTCCGGTTGCTCAACGATCCCTGAAGACTGTCATTAAACATCGATTCCGTCGGCTTCTCTTGTTCTACGAGGGTCAAGGGATTTACAAACCTTCTAAATAGGATCATAATTGGTGAAGTAGAGGCACTAATTCCAACAAATGATATTTTCACGTTTTCTTCCTCTACAGCGGGATCTATGTAATACGATCCTTCTATATAAATTTAAAATGTAACGTGGATATAAAAGGCGTTAAAAAAAAACAAAAAAAACTCTAATCTTCAAAGAAGACTGCAATATGAGTACTAGAATAAATATGGCTGCGTTTCTCATTTCAATGTTCTCGTTATTTTTCTTAACGTCACGTTGTGTGTAACAAGCATAAAAATGAAGTAATACGAGGCATTTCGGATAAGAAAGGTGGTGATATTATTTCAATGATCACATCAAGACGGCTGCAAAGTCATAAGATATCATTTTGCGCTCCCGATATCGTTGAGGGGGAAAAAATAAATAGATATGAAGCACACGTATGTGTTGATAGTGTTACAGAAAATATGAAATAGACGTACCTTTATCTTCAGACAGAAGATATAAAGCCATAAAGTAACACCGCGAAATATCGTAGTAAATATCCTATACTTTACGGTAATCGAACAACGCTGCAAGGAGCTTATCTGTACAATGGAAGGTCTCTCGACTATATCTTTCACGGCTCTGGCGTATCTCGTGCGGCACAATGCCAAGGGAAACTACGATCGTCGATGGTTATTGTCGTAATGGTGCCCGTCGCGCTACCGTTTAGCGGAAGGAAAGTGTTAACCCGGGGAGTACTCGCGCGAATTCGATTAACGTTAACTCTTTAGGCTACGTGCGACCATCGTTTATACACTCCGTGTATATTCAGCATTAGAATCCGGGAATTTCGAGGACGAAACAATCACACAAAATGCCTCTCAACGTTATTTGGCTATTATATGTTGTATATTAATGCATATATAGATATAATTAATGCGAACGGTATATAATTATGCATTTCGATTTGCCCGCTAATGATTTCAAAGAACTAATTCAACGTTAAATTAAAGGATCAATATCGCGCACGCTCCCAGTTCATTTCAATCGAAACACATTCTTGCATATAATACGCATGCACAAAGTATTCCATAATCACTGGTACGATACTTTAATATTCGTGCCCTAGAAATTAATTAGTGAGAGAATTTCAAATATAGAAATTCTCCAAATCCTAGTGTCAAAACGTCGAGATCATCATTTTCGAACTGGAAGTGATCAAACAAATCAACTGATCATGATAACGCGTATGGCATGAGTATTTGCATATACATAATTGTAAATTATTTCATGCCGTTTTATCATTTATACGTCATATGTTATGATGCATCATATCATATATTATAAAATATCACAAAACAATTATACTGCAGTGAAAGAAATAGAATTTAATGATTGTAAAATGTGTAGGTAATACAAAAAAAATAGTTTCGCAGCAATTAAGAGCTGTAATGCAGTAAGTTGTTTCTTCCAGTCATTTGGGCAAATTGTTACGTTTTTTTAAAATAAATTTTGGAGATAAGCGCGTTCGCGCAATTTTCTGCTGCAATAGTATTTAATTGAAGAAATAAGAAAAACATATGTTTTGCAGAACAAACACCAACTGCAAATTGAAAGATATAAGTGGGGAAACGAAAATGCGCGACGGACCGATTACTCCGGTTTGCGAGTATTCTCGGATTGAAGTGACCGCCAGTGTGCCGGGCGCGCGCTCGCTTTTATGCCAGGACGCACCATCGAATCGCGCATTTTGCGGAAAGCAGCGTGCAGAAAGCGGCCCGGTGAGTCGTGAAATAACGAAGGTGTAAGGGCGGAAATGCGGACGCGGCGAAACTGCGATGCGGCGCAATTAAAACGGGGCTTGGACGCGGAACGAAGTGTCCATTTCCTGCTCAGCGTTAATTGAAAATGCAGTTATTTATCATGCGCGATGGAACGCGCACGCGGGAGATCCGAAAGGGTCGAGGGAAACGATCCCTCGTGGCAGTTTGCCAAGCCGTAATTCGAACGACTTGGCAAAACGGGATGAGGTCATATTTTACTATATGCTCCAGAAGATACGGCGAATCTGTTAGAAAAACTTATTTAGCTGGATAAAAGTTCCGATCTCCGATTTTATTGTTTCACAGTGCAACTTTTATTTCTTGCAAGAGCGTTAAACAAATTATGTTTCCGCGGATTTGAAATTATTTAATGATATTACTGCGTTTTTCTAACGGTGATATGGTTATTGTCTTTTTGTATTCATATAATGATTCTTATTATCTATATATACTGCATTAAATTAACTCGTAAGTGAAATCTGGATAAAGACTTATGCTGATGCCAGTTATACTTCGCGCTCTGATTTAGCTTATTCGCGTGCACTTTAAATAAGTACTTAACCAACTGCCACTGTTGCGTAAGTGTAGCATATGAACTCTGCGAACTTTCGCGCGGCTAGTTTTACGCGCCAAGTGTAAATCGTAAATCGCGCTTTGCGTCCGTAAAAACGTATCACGTGCGCGGAATTATTTACAGTCACGAGCCCAGAGATGAATATTTTCGTGAATTTCCTATTCCCTTCTTACGGATACTGGTGGGATCGAAATAAAGTTCCATAAAATACGACAGGGGGATTCGAACGTGTCGCAATAAAAATCGACGCTCGTCGCAACGTAAAAAAAAAAGGGAGGATAAAAAAAACGACGGCAGGTCTTACTTTGCTTTTCGTCGAACGAATTCCGTTTGCTATAAAGTACGACCGGCGAGAGAGCTAATGCAAAGAGATACACACATGCGAGGAACTTGAACTCGACTCACCCTGAAACTCCTTCCGCGCCGCGCTGACGGAAGTGACGATGTTTGCGACGTGACCCAGCACCGTTGCGAATAGCAGCAGACCGAAGAACAGCTGGCCAATCACAAAGAGATACTCGCCCTTACTTCTCGGTCTGGAAAGAATAAAAATAAAAGAATAAGATACTCGAGTTATTAAAATTGCTCGGCTAACGTCGCTTTGCTTGCGTATTTTTCTTTTTCGCAAGTTTCTACCGCAGTTTTCACGCGACAATTGGAAGATCTTTATCGCAAGACGACTGTCTCATAAATATGCGCGAACGTAGAATAGAAAATACGTCTCTTTGACTTAAATTATCTCATAAACCGACTATACAAGATCTCTATTAATAGATCATTCATCGCCGGTGTCGCCGTTTCAAATAGGGAATAAAAACTGGCTTGGAATAGAGAAATTCTCTGTCCGGCAAATACATTACCCGACGCGGAAATGTCCCCGATATTTTCTCATTCTTTCGCGTGAGCTCCTCTATTTTAAGTGCACTAACAAAAATACTGGACTCATTTATCCGCACGCTCTTTTTCGTTTCCTGATTATACGGTTCTTGGTCGAGTCCGCGACCACGAAAGAAGGACTCGGAGCTTTTATTCTGCATCTCGCAAATATCCTCATAATTAACATCTCGCGCAACTTTCGAATGTAAAATACAACAAATTTCACAGAATATACGGAATATATAAACCAAAATTAGAACGGAACATCGTCGCGGAGAATCGCGGTGTAATCGGTATGAATGCATTTTGAACGTTGCATCGCAGATATAGAATCTAAATACCGCAAAAAATTTATCAATTTGGTTATCGGTTGTTTTCCTGGCGGTTTTCTCTTATTTGAGTGGTTTGAATATTTCGCATACACATTGTCATCGATTTTTATGCAGCGCTACATTTTGCGAGAGGTCCAGCGGTGCGCCGTTATAACAGATAGTAGCGCGGCGACGCGGTTCGCGTCTATCGCTTTTTATATTTAAAAACTGCACGCCGGACATCGTCGCGTGAATACGTGGAATTACGCGCGGAATGCTTCACGCGGTTAATGACAGTGGATCCGTGGGAATATTCGAAATACTGGATATAGAATTAAAAAGAAAAATAAATTGTTATTTGAAGTTACGGGACGTTTGCGTGTTCGAAACACTTTTATCTTGTATTGATATGTAAACAAATATAGTTAGAAGTTAAAAAACAACGCGAAGGACAATCCCGCGACGTTTCCGTGACATTTTCGAAAAAAAATTCTCGGATTTGTGCAAAACTAGAGTGAGACTTTCGAAGGGATTATCGCTCAAATTGTTGCACAATACGTTTGGCGGCGACTAAAAAAACGGCAAAATTTCCTTTGTACACTAGAACAAGCTTATATATACAGCGTTCCATATTCCATTCCGTACGCTATTTACAATATCAAACGTATCTTGCTGTATAAAAGTAGAATATAAATAAAAATTGTTGTTGTTTTAACGAATAAAAGTTTGCATATGCGAATGAGAGAATTTCACGGGGCTTTTAGAGCGCGTTGAGAAATGCCTGATCAATATATACCTAAAATATATATCGACGATATATTCGCCGTAAATTTTCTTGCGCAATCCGTATAACCCGTACATGCAACGCCGGCGCATAAATAAATGAGTAAATACCTGGGCAGATCACCGATGGTCGTTAGGGCGAGAGTGCACCAGTAGTAGCTTTGCAGATATTGCTTGACAACGTCCGCCGTCTCGGAGTCGCTGAACACCCAGTTCTTACTGCCGAAGCCGTTGTTCTTATAAATAATGTGATAGAGGCACCCGTTCCAGTGAAAGATCACTAGTAGATAATGTATCAAGGAGGTGGAGCGAAACAGATTCGGGTAGTTCGTGTGTCGCTCGGTCCTGTCCATGAACGCCCAGAACCTACGTCAGAGATGGAGAAGAGCGGGTCGAGAAAATTGGCGGAAATTCCGGCGGTCGCGGAGCGATAAATTTCGGGATTCCTCGCGTAGGATATATATCGGCGGCGGGAATCACGTGGAGCGCCGTTCAAACGAAAACGTGTGGAGGGGGGGACGGGACGAGCGTGTTTTTAATCATCGCGAGACGCAAGGCTCCGCGCGAGCCCGGGCGTGCCTTCAACAGGTTAAAATATGCTCCTGTCCCTTTTTTCCAATTATTATTTACGAGCGCGGCGAGATTCCGTCGTCCGCGCAATTCCGCGATTTACGGCGCAGCGTGGCGCCGCGATTGAAACGATTGCGATCAATAATTTACAGGATGAACTCCGGAAAACGCCGAAAAAGAAAAAAAACGTCGGAAGAACTCCATTTCCAATTTTTTAATTTCATATCCAAATTTAAATAAATCCAACCTATCGACTGTCATCTCAATGTAACGTAATAATTGATGGTTTTTGCGAAACTGCTGAAAGCGTTAAATGGAAAATGTGCTATTACGTTTGTGCCACATTACGTTATTCTTCTCTTTAATTCCGAGCCCTACCGTCGTCGATCTTCGTAAACATGCCCCACGTTATATGGCCCCAATGCCGCCATTTGTCACTAAATGTGGCCACACCGATCCCGAGCGCCGTTTGCTTAATACATACGTCATGTCCACAATGTCAACGTTAAATTGGAGCAAAGTACACGTACATTTAGAAATAAATAAGCCGGTATAACGTTGGCGAGTCGATCGGTCCTGACGAAATCGAATTTTACAAAGCGCTGTTTACCGATAAATCGCCGAGGCGGAAAATCTCCGCGCCGATAAGCGCGGAGAAAGAGCTGCCGTTTCTTTTTCGCGCACGTTGCCTCTAATAAAGGACAATATTGAGATACAACACGAGCCATATCCGTCCATATTTTTTGCGGGTGCACCCGGAACGCCGATGTTTGCACCGGAATGTGTAAACGTTCACGTGCGAAAGATCAGCACTGCTGTTACTATGACATTACACGCGAACTTTCGCAATCCTTTTCAATCCCGGCTTACCCCCACAAGTAAGTCGCGCTCATTGGTGCTCCATGAGAGAAGAAATCCCAACTTTTACAATTGTACATTCGAAGTCAATGGCATGATAGTCGAAACACGAAAAGAAACTCAGGACTTTAATGTTTTGAAACAAATCGGTTAATACGTATCTAAATCGTTGAAATGGAAATGAAATATTTACGAGTTAAGCACTTTTTGGGATTTCGCGATATATGCACATAATAGATATTCGCAAAAAAAATATGTTGATTCGTTGCGCTCCACTTAATTCCGCGTCAAACAATTTTTTTTCAAATGTCATGCATCATGCATTAAATCAGTGACTTTTATAGTCAGAATATATCGCATCACATTAACAAGTATAATAAATAAATCTGAAATATTGCAGATAGATAATGTCATCATAAACTTGTCATTCAAAGTTATCGTATAATTTAATTAATTAAACTAGAGAATAAAGAGAGTGAAAGAGAGAAAATGACAATTACCGGTAAATTTTTACGAGTCTAAAACTTCGCAGCATACTGTTAAATCCTATAGATAAGTATAAAAAGTCGAGGGGCAGCAGGCACAGGATGTCTATGTAAAACGTGGTGCTGTTCGTATAATGATTTCTCAATTTCGTGGCGTCGGTTTGCAGCACGCCGTCTTCCAAGTATCCCGTTCGAATGTGAAATATTATGTCGAGCACGTATAAAAAATCCGAGAAGTAGTCCAGGCAGAACCACACCCAACGAGTTTCTCCTGCATTCGCAAGCAAAACAAATGCCCACATTTCAATATGTACAACATGCGTATTTTACGATTAGTATTGATTAATCCTTAACGCTCGATAATTCTCTTTTGAAAATTAAATCTATTTTTTAAATAATATTTCCTTTTTTTTACGTATATGAATTTTTCGAATTACGTGTATTCCCGGATTCGTTAAAAATCTTTTCATTTTCAATCAGTTATAATAGGTTATCGGTCGGAAAGCTATTGATGCCTCCGTATTGATCCCCATTATATTTAACCTGGCTTTTTGTATTCGTAAATTGGGGAAAAAAAGCAGCTCCTACAATGATCGGCGTATGCAAAATATTTCAGCGATACCTTTATTTTCTATTTAACTCACATGCGCGTTTTAATTTGCGTATCGTTTTATAAATCGCAGAGCCATTGCTCGCTTTTGATATTCAATTAAAGTAAACATTATAGTTGTAATCGTTTTAAACAAAAATCTAATTCGTTTAATAAAATTCCTCAAAACTCTTGAATATGAAATGTCATTACAAGCAATTCACTTTGGAACGAATTTGGAACGTTTTCATGAATAAATCAAAGAATAAATATATATCATGGTGTAATTTAATAATTTCTCGTGCTCATAGGAGCGTTTTAATTTATACACACAAGTCCTAGCTAATTAAAAGCCTTGTATTTATTAAAAATGTCTTCGGATACGGATCTCGCTTGTATAAATACGATCGATATAAAAAAAAAAATTAGATTCTCTTACAGACGATCCCGCGATTTATTAAATATCCCAAGAAAGTAAACTAATTATACTTTCGATTCGAATCTTCAATTTTCAGAACGCCCCTATGAACGCGTATATGAAATTCGGAACAAGTCGTAAGCGCAATGCGGACTAACCGTTGATCTCCTGGAAGGCAAACCTATAGATGATCACCCAGAAGTTGTAAAGAAAGGCAAGAGAAACCACCATCGACCAATAGTAACAGAGACGTCCCGCAGGATCGAAGATGAAGGACCAATTTGGCGCGCCCGTGCGAAAACCCCTCGATCCAGGTTGCCCGGGAAAGCCTCTACTACCGCGTTGCTGTTGCTGTTGTTGCGCCGTGTACCTCCTGAGACAGTAATTCAGTGCGAACGTGCGCTGATTAATTACTTTCGCGTCCCTGGACGCGTTCCGCGACACGGCTGTCCATTTTTTCCGTTACCGTCCGTACCGTGTATACGGGGATTCGCGTATCAATGTGAAAAATTACAATGTTGGAAGTATCGAATGTTCCCGCGGTGCACTCGGAAAAAAGATCCCCCCAATGCAATTTTGTACGCGCCACGCTGTTTCACCGAATTAAAAAGAGAGAGAGAGACAGAAAGCCTCCGTTGCTTACAGGAAAATTTTCCCACAATTTCGCTTCCGACAATTCCGTTCTCTCGCGAAGATATTTCTGTTTAAAGAAGCCCCCTGGCACAATTAAGCGATCTTTAGAAATGCAAGAAACACCGCCGCCGGTATTAAGTAAGCCTCCAAGAAGTCACTTGAATATTTATGATCCTTCACTACGTAGATTTCTTCGTTATATTCATTTTCCTGAACTTTCATCGCAAATTTGACCTCTTATAAGGAGGGAAAATTAGCATCAAATTGAATTTTTCTCGGAATACCCCGTTCTTCTTCTCGATATCGAGAGTATGGAAAAGAGACGGCTCGCGAGGATGTACGTAACGAAAGTTGATACCCGGCGATAATTGAAATCGGTCGTCCGCGATTGCACGCCCCCGATGAAGGTACTCACGTTTCAGTGCCGTTGCAGCTACTGTTGCTGAGATGATTGACTGATGCCGGTGTGTGGAGGTGCGATTGGTCACGCGAGGACGTGAGCGCAACTGTATATGGCAGCTTGAATCTGCCCCTTAGGTGGTCCCTTCTTCTCGGCTTGCGGCTCAGATCGAGCTCGCTCGCCCCCCGATTCACGTATCCCCCCTGAAGCGAGTCCCGCGACGAGCTGAAGTATCGCTGCGACACAGAATACACCTACACCAATTAGGATGTATAAAGTGTCACGACGCGACGGTGTTGCTTCGCGACATATTATTTTACATGTGAAAGTGCAACGGCTACGAGATTTATGTAATGTAAAATTTATAAAGAAATGTACGAGATGTAAACGTATATTGTAATATTTACATTATTTACACTGCATTTATAAACGTGAGCGGTACAAATATGTTGGAAAATATATGAAACGTCACAACGACCGTCAGTCTCTCTTTATTTATTAAGATAAAATTGATCATTAGTACAATTAATTTTTCTGAAATTAATATCACTGAAATTCGCGATTTCTCGTGCGACCACGGTCGACAATATATCGGTTGTTTGATACACTCGTCGTATTTTGCTTAATTGCTGGCTGCAACGTAACCGTTCTGGTTATTTTTCATCTCTCGGAACGAGATCCTCGTCGCCAATATTTTCCACATCAGTTTACATATTACACATTCACGCAATGTTCGAACCATCCGTGGTAAGTGTAGCTCGTGCGTGTGGTTGTCGCGCATAATGAAACGGATACTGCGAACGTTTGTTATCCGCTCGCGGGACTGTTGTTGAAAAATTTTTTTTTCTCGCGTCGAATAGTTTAGTATTAAACGCGCTTGGCCTGGCAAACTCAGAACTGCGTGCACAACGCTTTTTACGAAAATAAACACAATACCGGTTATTTCGTTGCCTGTAACCCTACTGAAACATTTAGCTGATTAAAGCTAGCTGGAGAATCTCTATTTTCCTCTATTTTCTTACCTTACCACCGTCCCTTATTCGTTTTCATTTTCTTTATTTCTCCCGCAATGTCGGGTTTGTAACAGAATTTATCCGCCGTCATCATTTTTTTTTTCAAGAAATTTCTTTCCCATGAAATGGCATAATACATTTGCATTGCGTGCAAGTATAAAATTTACTTAGTAAAGAAATTAAATCTTGATAACTTTATGAGAATTTTTAGAAGCTCTTGAAAAGATTCTATAATTAAGGGAAATTCGCTTTTCTCAACCAAACCTCGCGGTCTTTTCAACGTAGATAGATTTAAAAAGACTGCTAAAAATCAGATTCGAGGGAGGGAAGAGATGGGGAGGAGGGAAGGAATATTTGACGACCAGCATCGAAATACTCAATGCCGGTGAAGTTCACGCGCGAAGTGTTCTCTCCGGGACGTTTCTCCGGCGAGTGGTGGCAGTGAAACGAATATTTTATCGTGTCGATCGCGGGGGGGAGGGTGTAACCAACCTGCTGCTGCTGCTGATAGTAGTAGTGGTGAGTGGGTGTGTGTCGGCCCATGAATTTACCGCTGACGAGGTCCAAGAGGCTCTGCCTCGAGGGTAAAACCCCCCTGGACACGTTCTCCGCGCTCTTGGTGTCATCCTCCTTCTCCCTGCCGCCGCCCCCGGTCCTACCGTCGCCGGACCTACCGCTTCTGCCGTACTTCTCGCCCCCGTAGCTCAGGGCGGACGCGGAGCCACAGCTTAGACGATGTCTCACCCCGCCTGTGATGGCACCTGCAACATCAAACGACGATTCCGTTAACTCGAGCCATAAAACTTTTGCCAGTTTCAGTGCTCCATCTGTTTTAAAATATCTCTTTGCGCGGATCACTGCGACCAATTGAATAAATATCTTCAACCTTTAAAATTTATTATATAAAAACATGTGTAATATTATTTATTATTTTAATAACGAAACTTTCATGATCTACATAATATGTTGTATTTTCTACATTTTTAACAATCCCTTAGTCTCTTCTCTTTTTTATTGTTATTCCGATTATTTCTTCAATTCGCGTTCTTTTGTAGTATTTCCAAGAGATAATTATAGACGCGTATATTCCTGCTTTCGCGTTACAATTTTACGGCTTTCTTTTGTTTTCTAACGAGAAATTTAATAGAATTAATATGTACAGAGAGAATACATATAGAGAGAGGAAGCATTGTTCCGGTTAAAAATGTGTTAAGGTCTTACGGTAAAGTGATATCTATATGTTCAGAAAAATGTCGTAATGAACCTTTGTGTCGGTATCACCTGTGGATGTAATGATGAATAGCGCGAGAAGGATTCCGTTCACAATCGGATAATTCATTTTTCTCGTAAGTCTAGAATTTCCTACGTAATGAGGGAGACTGGTATATGAAAATGTGGAAAATAAAAAGATCCTTTCTTTTTAAAAACTTAGTTGTGGATTCCAATAACAATAAAATTTTATTGAGGTTCGTAAAAGAGATTTTTCTTAAAAGGTGATTAGAATACCAGATTTTAAAATTCAAATAAAACTCCGTATAGCCTTCCGCTCTTATCATCTGCAAATTCCCTGTTAAATATTCTCTACTAAACGGATAATGTGTGAATTCATGTCACAGGGATAATACCGACACGGCGCGTGAATTCAAGGCCAAGCACTGGGAATCTCTCATTGGAAATGCGAGGAGAAATAAGCAAGTTTCCGCGGAGGTGGAGCATATCCCCCGGTATTATCTTCGTGCGCGATGACACCTGACAACGTCAAAGAGAACTGCCACGGAACGGCACAAGTCCCCGTTTTCTTGCAGCACGGAGATTACGGCTCATCCACTTTTGCCAGATAGTAACGAGGCGTGACATGATAAGGGCGCAAAATCCGTGCGGCGAAAGCCTCGCGTTACTACGTCGGCCCCCTCCTCGTCCCCCGTCCGCGAATCCGTTTAACCGGGAATAAGTCTCGGCGGAAGAAGTTATCGCGCACCGCCAGACAATTTCCTCCTTGCGCAAAATCTGAGCTGCGATTTCTTTCCAATCGGGGAAAAGTTTTTCTTATTATATATTCTGAGCAGTTTTATCATATCTATTACTCTAAAAGTGTGGATAAAAACGATACTGTCACCAGTGTTACATCCTCGCAATTGGAGCACAAACAAATTAATTTCGCCAATCAAGACATTTAACTTTTTATACATCTGGTTTTAAATGACGACTTTGCAAATTGGCTGGTATAATGAAGGCTTAGAAATACCCGTGAGAGAGAGAAAGAGAGTGAGAGAGGAGGGGGAAAGAAGGAGATTCGCACCGCCGAAAGATAGCCGGATGGAAGAAAATGAGGAAGAGGGTGGGTGGAATAATTAAATAAAAGATAAATGAAAATACGTGACCGAGACCCACTGCACAAGAGTAACGAAGTGTTGCTCGAGAAATACGTCATAACGAGATTCCTGCTCTCCGGGAGCTGTTTCGCAAATAATCTCGCGCTCGCGCGCCACCGCCCGGGCGTTCCTCCATTAAGGTGGTGGAGAAAAACGATCGCAAGAAAATCTGCGCCCCGGCGTTCTCTCTTCATTACTCTCCTCTGTTATTTTCCCGTTAATGCGATGTAAAATCACACTGCGCAAAACAAGCAGCGAGGAATTCCGTCGAATATGAGCTCCGATGTCGAATGAGCTCGCAAATTTACACGCTCGATATAATGGTATGCCGCGACCACGAGTAGCGCCCCTTGTACCTACCCAGAAACGCGACCCTTTAACTCGGCTAATTCATTTATAATTATATGCTAGTTATGTTTAATACGTTCCAGCTTAATTAATTTACTTTAATTCAACCAATTAAATTTAAAACGACAAGATTAAAAATGCAATCCGGTCCTTTTTTATCGTGTTGCTTTTAAATATAAAGAGAACATTCCGTTAACAAAGAATAGATAAATATAAATGGCAGATGATTCCAATTAAAGTTGAAAGTATCCTGTTAAGTTCTCACGTCCGGGAGAAAGTATATAGTTTAGTGGGTAAGTATAAAAGTAATTGCTTTCTGACTCCCAAGAGGATTAATAGGATAAGTTTTGAAGTAAGGAAGGGAACTAAGATAAATTTAAGCAGTTAGACTGAAGACAGGTAGTATAAAAAATTAAAAAATTGTTTATATATATATATATATATATATCGATCATTTTCGGTGTTGTCGCAAAGGAAATATCGATTACAACTTCGCTGGAAGGAAACTGAATTTTAAACTGTCATCCAAGTTTTTAACAATTATATGAATGATTAAAAAATCTATTGGGAAATTTTAATTTGATCCTTATACGAGAGAGGGAGGGAATCGGAAAGTTCAAAAACTCTTCAAAATGGGGCCGTACTTTATTCGGACTAAGCGGCTAAAATAATTTTAGATCGACCGTGTCGGAGGTCCTGATGAATAATGCGCAACACGCCCGACGGTCATTATGGCAAGAGACGAATTAATTCTAGTTGGAAGCCGCGTTGCGAGCACGACGTCGTGCGGTCGATGCTTTGGACGAGGACCATTGTACTGTTCTCTCAAAGACCGACAGTACGCAAATATTGTGTTCGGGTAAACGTACACACGACATACGTACGTACGACACGCGACGCGATACGCGGACGAGGCAATGAGTGCACGGTTCTCTCTCCCTCTCCCTCCCTCTCTCTCTTTCTCTTTCTGTGTGCCCCCCCCCCCCGAGTCAAAAGAGAATTTACCATGCCTCGGCAATGCGCATTCTTTATGCCGAACCTTATTGACCCAGCCTGGCTCTTCTCTTGGCGGACTTCCCGGGTTGATCCTTTCTGACGGCAATTTGTGCGGCGATGTGCGCCGTTGCGCATTTTAAAACGTTAATCAAAAACAAAAGGGGAACGTCGAAGCGTGTAGCTCATAAACCGCAATTTATGACCGTTATGTGCCGCTCGCGCAAAGAGCCCTTTCAGCCCTTTTTCCGCGCCCCGCGGATCACCGAAACGAGAAATCTTTTATGGATCTCACGGGCGATCGCGTATCTTTCGCGCGCGCGTATAACTTTCCGAAAAGAGTACATCGAAAAGCGAAAAGAAGTTTACGCTAAATTCGTGATTTATTGCGAAATCGAAATGTTATTGCGATGCAAAACAACGCGAGAATTTTTACTTCGAAATACGGATTTTTTTTCATTGGCGCACTGAAAATGTTTTACGGCTGCGTGTGTTGCTGGCCATTTGTGTCTCGCGTAAAAAAAAAAGATGGGCACACGACTGGTAACTGGTATAAAGCCTCGTCACATATTGTGACATGCCTGTACACCTGTAGTTTCAAAAAAACGCGATTTCACGCGCTCTACGTACGCGAGTGCACGCGCGCGGGGTTTTGCAGCGGGACATTAGCGTCAACGAGCCCGCTAATCCGCAAAAGTTCGAAGTTCGTACGCCGCGCCACGTCATTTCCGGAACACGCCGCCTCACGGACGAACGACTTCTCCCCTGTGTGGAGGATATATATTCGCTTTCGAACTTTTCCGAATGAAAATATCGCGATTCCAATATCCGGCCTCTCGCCGGCAGGCACTCGTACCCGCTCTCACTCGCGTAGTAGAAGAAAAGTAAGTTTAATGGTGACGCCGCGCCGCCGCCGCCGCCGCCGTCGCCGTCGCCCCAAACGGCTAAACGGAAATCTCCGTGAGGGGAAAATTGAGAAAGCGCGGCGTCGACGAGAAGCGAAGTAACAAAGTTAATTGCCTTTTGTCGCGACAGCTTGGCGAGGCCGACGAAATTGAACGAGTATGAGCGCGAGACACAAAACTGTTATGTTTATCGTAACAGAAATTGCACTTTAATTTGCTCCTTTTTTTAAATTTACTCTTTCATATCACAAAGTTATATAGCGATGTATTGCAGTTAAATACATTTAAAATATCCGAAACTACGAATAAATCATTTCAGCTCTCTCGTGTCCTTTATGGAGAAATTTTGATATACCGGACTTCTCCCACTCGAAAATGTCTCGTCAAAAATGTTATCATTAAGCACAGATCGAACCGGTGATCCGGAATGTGAAGCGGATAAGGCCTAATATCCTACATTGTCGTCTAGACAATTTCGTACACAGTGCGACCATTGGGGCGTATTATCGCAGAGGCTGTATCGATCGGGATGCTCATTCTAGAGGAAAACGAGAAATTGTCACGAAATTACATACGACGACACGCAGGATACGTGCCGTAAATCCTAGCCAGGCGGTATGCATTCATTTCCAAATAATCGCGCACACAACGGTCGCTATTAATATTTTGTGTAACAGACGGACGTTAGATATGTCGAGACAGTTTTATTATTTATGAATCTCATATAAATATTAATAAATGTCGCAATGTTTGGAAAAAAAAAATCACCGTGATTCTGAAACAGATTACGGATACGGTATATGGCGCAATTTTGACGCCGCGTTTGTCGTCTCTCCTCAAAAATCACGCGCGACGTCGACGTGGAAACAGCGTCCTGCTCCTATATAATGCCTGTTTCAACTATCAAAAAAAACTGAGCAAATAAATGTGAAAGCAGGATAGAAGGAAAAAGGGGAAGAATCAAAGGCACGAGGTAAAATTAAAATGGATGTGTGTGTGTTCTCGATGGGAATAAAGAACGTGATAGAAATTTCATTTCGGGCGTGTTTTTGACAGTGCGTGACAAGCACAAATGGGACTCAAAAAAAGGAGCGTTGACGGGCGGAACAACAACAATATTGCAGGTAGGCAATGGGTGTCCAGATTGCCGAAATAGAATCGGATAAGCTTTCAGAGCTTGCTCCGAAAAATGCCGGCTGTTGGCGTGGACTGTTGTGCCTCGGCGAAAACAGAAAAATTCGTTTCGGGAAGAAACGAGCGCTGAAAGCCGCGCGCGTACTCCCGGCGCACGCTGCGATAGACATGCACAAAGATTGATTCGCAACGAGTCAATTGAGGAATGAATCGCTTGGCATGTTGCATCTGCGCGGATCATTTCCCGTTTCTAAAGTATCGCCACCGATGGATACATACGACGCGGAATATCCGTTGGACCGCGGTAAACTTCGGCGACAAGAGTAGCGCATCAGTTTTACGCGTTATCGAGCGTGGAAAACGCGGAGGGGGACTGAACATACGATGGAAAAAAAAAAGGAAAAAAAAGAACGGACGGAATAACGAATCTCTTCTGAATGAATAATTTTTATCTACCGGATTAATCCACGGTGCATATTGGATTGCAAAAAAAATTGCCTTTTTCGACAAAATAAATTACTCTAATTTTTCGTGTTTCTCCTATACGTGAACTCTGATAGTGTAGACAAATTATATATAAAGGTTTTGTCGTCCGTGCATTGTACATCGTCATTATGAAGCTCGCGACACTCGTTACCAAGCATGTAACTATTAGCCGGATATGATTGGAAGGTCCCATTAAAACTTACGTCAACGCCAGCTCGGACTAATGTCGCTGCAATTTGCGACAAACAGTCCGAGCTAGCAGGGGATTGTGCTGTTATTCTCGCATGTGTTAATGCCTTGCAGCGCAGCGATAGAATCAATATACATACATTTAATCGATAACAATTCATATCACAGAAGAGCCACTCCGCTAATCGTTTCTAACGGAGTTCGTAAACCGAAGTAGTAGTAGACACCGACGCATAAACCCCAGACCAGACCAGAGTGGAGTAGTAAAACAAACGGCGGGTCCCACGCCACGGGTACGAAATTTCACAGTGATATGCATCAATATATTGTACTTGGTTGCCGCGTATACAGAAGTTTTACAACGGAAAGATAATTGGACTAAAAGCAACGCGTTACAACAAGGCTATCTGGATGTAAAGGTTCTTTTTTTCCTTTTTGTTTTTGTTTTTTTTTTCGAAGTTTCTACATCAAATTTTTTCGATGAAATCGACCGGAGGAGACGAGAGATGCAACCACGTTCGCAATAAATATAGTTTAGCAAGCGTACTATACATTTACTTCATTTCAAAGATATCAAGCGGAAATATCTTTTACAAGAAAATAACACGCGGCGATTCGTAGCTATAGATGAAGATACTCGAGCGGCGAGAGAGGCAGTACGGAAACGTCGCGAGAAAGTCTAAAATAATGTCTGACAAAGATGTGAGAAAGAGAGAGAGAGAGAGAGAGAGAGAGAGGAAGAGAAAGTTGTGTTAAAATGCAATTAGCGTACTTAAAGAAAGTAGTAAACCTTTTTCTAGGGAAACCATCCTGCCCAGTGAAACTCCACGTTACATAAAGATCGTAAAATGAAATCAAAACCCCAAAAGCACTTTGCGTCGCTGAAAATGGGATGCTTTCACCAAATGCGCGACAAGATTCCTTTTTTCCCCCCTCCCTCGCCAACAAACTAATTAAAACGTCTTTCATGTTTCCTCCAATAAAAGAAATAATATTACGACAACTTGAACTTTTACGTGGCATTTGGTAGATACGGAAAGCGCAGAAAGGACAGAGACGATCAGTTTAAACTTTCAGAAATTTGAAAGCTACGAAAACTACAGAATTTATGTATTTACGGATTCTCAAAGTGTACTCTAAAAGTTCTCAACAATCGTCTCTTAATTTAGGCATGGTAATGGAGAATACCTCGTTATTTAAGCTTATTATCAGACACCGGATCCTCTTGCGAAAATTTTAAAAGTAACGGACTCGCATTACGCGAAAGCTCGTTTGCTCTTTAATTAAATAATATGCAGACTTTCCGCAGTCGTGGAAATTCATGAAAATTACTCGCTATCATAACTAAATGCTTTTTTAGGATGTGTTTCGTATTCCCTTTTCTCCCTCCCCTCCCTCGCCGCGTTAGAAATTCAAATGGAAACGCTACGCTGTGCGTTCGAAACTTAAGTTGCACTCAGGTCAATCGGAAACAAGTTATAATCGCATATTACACATGTAATTACCAAATGCAATTTCGCCGTAATTGTTCGTAATTGAACTGTACCGAGCGCGGTCGTTGCAGTGACTTTTTTTAGCATTTAGATAGAACAGCGGTACGTGTCGTTTTATGGTACAATTATCTCTCCTCGCACAGCTCTGGAAAAATGAAAAAAAAATGTCTCTCTCACTCACTTTCTCTGTCTCTATTTGCGAAACTATACGTGATTCAGCAGACAAATTTTCTTATATACTTCTATCTACACACTTTACTACCTCCTGCGGCGTCGTGCATGTGTCCCGCGAATCGATATGTAGATGCGCAGAAAAACAGCTATTAGTATCTTGTGCCCGGCAGAAATTGCAATATCGATATTATGCGCGGGACGCCTGCAAATAAGGACTAAAAATAGACGGTTATCGGCTGGCCGTTCGCGCGCGGTGGAGGTATTTATGTCGCACTTGACACATCTATTTTCACGTTGAACGCGCGCTTGTGTCCCCCAAGATTTTAGATCTTCTCCATTTGAGTCCTGATGACTTTGTCCAAATTCGTTTGTCGAAATTCGTTCCCATGAAATTCCGATACACGCCGAAAGTCTCGGGGAACGACGGAAAACCTGCTGCGACGCAGAAATACACAAACGCCGTTCCTGTATTTTTTTTTTTTTTTTAATAAAAGTTAACGCGAGACTTCAGTTACGATTCAGTTAAACTGACGGGAGAGAGCATTGAGCAGGTTGTCAATCGGATGAAATAATGCGCGTGTATATCTGCTATATAGTTACGATTAATTGTCAGCGACGATATTCCACGGATACAGCGGGGTATATAACGAATTTTACGATTTTCCATCTTTTAATGGCAATTCATGGCGGACGCGCATATTCGCATCCTCCGATATACATGTCAATAATACTACAATATTATATATATATACTACAATATTATATTTCGTTAATCCGGTCAATTCATAGCTCCGCGCTCGTATTTACTCTAGCCGGCACGCGAAACATTTTCATTACGGAATTCGCGCTGTCCCGGCGCAATTGAATTAACGCCGCTGGCGCGCGCGAAATACTTTCGTACACGCGCGGCGGACACACGCCGCGGCATCGCGGCTATTTATCATAAATAAAGCTTCGCGTTTCCGTACGCGATTATTAAGCTAATAATTTTACTATAAACCAAACCACTTTGCGTCCTCGTCCTTCACGCGAAATTCGTGCGCGTTTCGCTCGATCGCCTGAATCAGAATTCGATCATGCATATGCGGGAGCCGAATTAATGTGAATTAATAATATGAATTAATAATGTGAATGTTAATCGCGGAATAGAGCGCGGCGGGAGGTCGCACACTCAAACACACACGCGCTCCTTCGCCGAGTTCGTTTTCGAGGGAAGAGAGCCGTGGGGATTTTTATGAGGGCATGCACTTTGTTCTCGTCAATCGCGCGTCGCCCGTCCGTGTCCCTTCCTCGCGTTTAATTTCGCGAAAATAAAAACGCGATCGATAACCGGCCGACACCGTGCCGCATTCTTTTTCCCTCCACTCCCTCGCCATTCCCCCCCCCCCCGAAACGACTTTCGTCTATTAAAATTCGCTAATTAAACACGCGTCATAAACGACAGCGGATTAAACGTATTGACCATTGGCGGAGACGGAGCAGCGCGGCGCGGCGGCGCGTCTCCGAGCGCGCGACTCGCAAAAATAATCAACGTCACGTCGCGTCGTCCCGCTGCAGATTTCATAGCTCGTCCCGCGCGTCTATCTCCCGCGAGTCCTCTTTTTACGAGATTAAATTCCGGTCTCCGGGGCACAGGAGCTCCGCGAACGCGCCCCGGTGGACGCGCGCGACACTCGGGGGGAGGGGGGAGGGGAAACGAAAGGGCACTGAGGTGAAAATCGGGCGAAAAAGCACGCGATGGAATTCGCAATATAAATATAGACGTACGTTTCCAAATACCTGAGAGATGAGAAGAGACGAAACGACACACGCTCTCGACGACGATGTGAGGCTGAGAGCCGAGGACGTTGCCGCTCGAGAAGTCGTGGTGACGGGAACGACGTGATACCCCGGGAATATTCACACTATTCGCGGTCTGGCGAGCCCGAGCTAATCGCGCCGCTCGCGCCCACGTCGGTCTGCCAGCGCCGTGGCCGCCATGTTGCTCGCCGGTATACGCGATGAGTCAAGTTGGCGACTTCGCTCTGCCCTGCCCCCCCCTGCCCTGTACACACGTCGGTATTCGGGCGTCTAAAATAATGAGCAACGAACGACGTTCGCGACGTTGTGGAAAGGCTGTCCGTTTTTTTCCGAGCTCGAACCGCGACGCCGACGATGATTGTTACTACTGGCGTAAGAGGCGAACAAGGGGGGCTATACGCGAGCTTGACTTGATTAGCGCGGTCGGTCAGCCATACTGCGAATGTCGGGAGTCGCACGCGCGTCGCGTCTCTCGCGTTCCTCGGCGCATTCGCGAGGGAAATGAGAGTTCCGGACGACGGGCGATCGGGGTGAGCTCTCGTAAACCGTCAATTGACGACTTCGATGAATGATTACCTGCCACTCGAGCTTCGACGGCGCTCGGCGGCGTCGTCTCGTCGGTCTCGCGTTCGTCGTCGCGGCGATACGTGAAAGCACGGGCACGGCAGTCGTCGCGCGGGCGAAGTCACGGCCGGCGCGGAAGTTGCCGCGAGTTCGAATTCGAAGTGTCCAACGTGGGTGGTGGCGCGCGGTCGACGGAAATTCGTCGCGTCTCGCGCACTCGGGAGTGTAGTATCGCCACGTGAAGGTCGTGAAATGACGGACAATCGTCGCGTGTTTACGCCAACAGCCCTGATCGGCGCGGCGCGACGCCTCCTCGAGGGACGTCTGTGTGTACGTGCATGAGCGACGAGCGACACGTGTACAGGGAACGGAGCGGCAGGACGAGGGACGAGCGGCGCGACGATGAGCTGCATGGTGGCGTCACGGTGAGTACATCTCTATATCGTATGTATGTACAACTCAAACTTGAATAACTGCGCGCGTTTGTTTCGTTCGTGACAACTCGACGTTGTTACGTCGCGGTGGTGTCTCACACGCGCGTACACTCCGATGTCGTCGTCGTCGAAGACGAACGGTGCAGTATCGAGAAGAGTGCATCTCGCGCGCGTAAAATCTGGAGACGGATTTGACTCCGATTGTTCAACTCGCAGTCGCGAAATCGTATTTCCGTGCTTCCGTGCGACTTTTCAGCTTGGATTCGGACGCGCGGAATTTTTGCTCCCGGAATTTCCGCTTACGGGTATTTTACGGGACTTTTACGGGTATACAGAGTGGCTATATAAATTCACGTGCATGCATATTCATAGATATCTCGATTAAATTTGAAATCAATGTTTCTTAATAGATTAAAGTTAGAAAAAAATTTTTTTTTAATTAAAATGAATACAATTTTTAAAAATAAAAAATTAAATTATTCCAATATTAAATCTTAAATATCTTATATAAAAAAATTAAGTTCTAGATAAAATTACGAGATACAATTTCACTTAAGGATTCAATACACAAAATTAAGAAATAAAATCTTAAATATCATCCTGTCTCGATATATTCTGTCTCGAAAGTTTGATTCACGAAAATCCTGAATCTTCAATTAAAATTTAAAAAATTATTGCCATTTTAATATACTTTATTAAAGCATAATGACAAGTATGAACGAAGTAAAATCGATCTTTTTAATTAGCAAACGTATCGCATGCTACGCTAAAATCCACGGATGCATCCAGCGCATTGTTTTATTGCCTGCGTCTGCGGATTGCCGCTGTAACGGTCGCAAAAATGCATTCTCGGATCGGTCGCCCGAATTTTACGGCGGATTCGGATGAATCTGACGGGTAATATCCCGAAGTCGATCTCCCGCCTGATTCCCGGGATATTTATGCAGCCACGATGGACCGTAACATCGATCGCGTTTCTTATTTAAGTTTCAGATTCGCGCGTGTGTGAGAGAGGCGAACACGGATTTCCATTTATCTGTTGTATCCCTGTGCTGCGATTTTTCAAAGCGTGCACTTAGAGAAGTACTCTACAAAGCGCGGGATGCCGAGGCAGCGGAAACAGGTGCGTTCTTGTGTTATGAAAATCCATTCTTTGCTATAATCGATAGACTCGGCGATAAGGAAAATTTTGTTCGATTCCGCTCTCGGCACGAAGAGAAACAGCATCAATTAATCTTTTATATATCTTTTATAAATCAACGGTTCGATTCGAGAATTTTTAATCATGTTTTTAATCATGGCACAGATATTCAGTAAAATAAGAGAGCTTTTGCTTTATATGAAGAATATACATATTATTTCTTACCGATTGAAATAACGCGCACGCAAATTGATAACGTATTATGCAAGTGAACGTTTCTATATTTTTACGGTTTGATTTATGCAATACAATGCGTATCGAAAATTACCAAAAATATCAGGAAAAGATATTGATGAAAATATTAATTTATCAAAATTTTAGTTGTGTATATAAAGATCTAAATTCATTTCATTCGGAAATATCTTTAACGTAAATTAAAAAGAATTTCATATTACATCAGAACGTCTATCATGACAAAGTATCTGTATTTCCTTCCGTGACGTCCTATAAACAAAATACGAATAAATCGAATTTCGCCACGTCAATTTAATAATGTTTTATACATGGGGCCGCATATAAATTCACACTCTCTCTTTGAAATGTAACAAAGTAAAGGAGGAAAGTAAAGAAAGAAGTAAATACATGTCGGTCTACCGAACGAATGACACTATTATCGATAAATGATGTGAACTATCTCGGAACTAATTACGTCATTATCGGGTTAATGCCTGAGCTTACTTCCTGGCGCCTTAGAAGCGCGACAACAACGCGACAGTCCTTCGACAACCCTCCGTAAGGATCGGGTCGATTCGCCTCTGTGTCGAATAATCGAAACGATACATTACGCGCGTAAATTCCGAATTCAAGAGCGCGAAACAAACTCCGAACAACTTTCTCTCTTTCCTCCTTTCGTATAAAATACGTTACAGTTTTCGAATGTTTCTGACTGACTTTAAACAAGGAAAAAAAGGACGTAAAATCACACACAATCCCGTGTATAAAATATCGTTAAAATTCCCGTGACGGTTCCATGATCGAAGTTTATCATGTTTTTCGCTATAGACGAAACACGCCGGCTGAAATTTCTGCGACTGCGATCTGTATATGTATATACATATATATATATATATATATATACATATATATATATATATATATATATATATATATATCAACAACATTGCCTGGAAAACTGCACGGCACGAAAGCACGTTGTTACGTTGTTAGCCGATATTTTTGGCCGGAAAAAAATTCTATAACGAAAAATAGGATATCCTATTACCATGAAAAATAAAAGCTCTCCCACGACGAGTGTTTTCTATCCGAGCTGCATGCATGGAAGCTTTGTAGAGCTACGATGCGCGCGCGAGAGAGAGAGAGAGAGACATAGGGAGATAACAATAGAATTGTATCGTGCCTGGCACGTGCCGTTGGTTTTCATTACGCGCGTTCGCACTTAACCGTTAATTTACGAACCATTAATTTGGATATGCCCTTAACATTTAAACGCCCGAACCCCCCCGTTGTTGCGTCGGGCATCACTCTCACTCGCGCGTTTTCAGATCCAGCTCGCCGAATTATATTTTCGTGAATGATTTACTCGAAATTCCGCGGTCCTTCCTCGCTAAATCCACCTCGATTGGATTTCACTGGTTTTGATACACATATGTGAAACAAGTGGCGGCGCGTCGAAATTTAGTGACGTAAAAAATTTGATTTTTTGCCAGTAGTACACCTATAGCAAAAAAATAATAGTAAAAATCAAATAACGACACGCATACGCATTCAATATGTATTATATACTCGAGAAAACTCGAAACACATTTAATATGTAAATAAGCTACGAAATTCAGATGCATAAATAAATTTCGCGACGCGAAACGTAGGGGTTTCTATTACTCGCTGAAGCTTATTTTAAGGTGGAGTGTATCTTTGAGGATGATATTCTTTCTCGGTATCCCGTTTCAAAAAGTTAATGCAAAGGCATTTTCCCGAGAGAATTCTGCGCATCTTTCTTATGCAAGTCGCGAATGGCGCAAGCACCTGCTTTCGGAATCTTTTCAACGGCTTACGCGATCGTCCTGTTAAGCAGGGCTGTTCCATGCATACAAACGGAAAAGACGAAATGGTCAATAAATGTTACCGCATCGGATATAAATATAGCTGCTGCAAATGCATTATGTGTTTCCCTTGAATTTTTTAAAACTGTTCATAAACACAGAGAGATTTATTTGCCCTAATGTAAGACGAAATGTACTTTCGATTTAATTTGTTTATTCGAGATACGATCGCTTTCGCGCATGTCAAAATAATATATAAACTCGCGACCAAGAATATCCACAAGTTGACACGAATAAAAAGAAACCATGTTTTAGTGGCGCATTTATCGATTATCGGATGAATATCGTGCAATTAAACTTAGCTATTGCTTTTGTAGATTATTCCGTTCAATATCGATATCTTTGTCTTTATTACTTTTTCTTCTCGAAAAGATTTAAGATTAAATTATGCTATTTTTTTTATCACGCGATCAAATCTAATAATAAATTCAACCTGGAAGATTTGCTTCTACAAAAATAAATCTTTTTATATATAGAATTTTTTAAAATACAAATTTTACTAAAAATCGTAATATATAAAAATCTACTTTATAAAAGGTGCTTTATAAAATCTGTTTTTGCATATGGAAGAGTACGTTTCCATTAAAAATCACACGATAAAATCCGTACTTTTATCCCTGATAGTAAATGCAAGAAATTTGCGATGGAAGCTCCCGCCGAATTTCTGGAGGGAACTTTCAGCCGTGTTATGTTGGCGAGTCGTGCTTTGGAGCTGCTGAAACTTTACGAAACTCTGTTTTCGCTTGCATATTCCGTTCCTCTTAGAAAGCACATTACTTGTTTATAAACACACCTGCGTCAGTCAAAGATAATAGGGAAAAAATTCCTACTAGTCGAATCAATTAATTTTGTTTTTTTTTTTGCGTAATTCACAATTTATGAATCAGAAATAATTAAGTAATGCCAATGCAAGCCGACACGGATGTTGGTGTGTATAATAATTTGTTTGTTAGCATTAAAAATATTAAATTGCTTGTCAATTTAATTAGTTACAGTAGATTCCGGTTTTATGTAAAGAACTGTGTTTTATAAGACCGACAAAAAGTGCGGCGAGTAGTTGTGTATGGCTCGATATTGTGACGATAAAAATTATTATACACACCAACATCCGTGTTGGCTCGCATTGGCATTACTTAATTATTTCTGATTTATTCTTAGGAGCCTAATTGTCTTCAATTTAAATTCACAGTTTACGCTAGCGGCTCAAATTATTGTATTGTCGTTTATAGTATAGTATAATAATATTAAATGGAATGCGAACAATAAAAATAGAAAAGCTTGCTAAAAATTACTGAATTTCACCGTCTCTTTAAATAATGCCGAAATATTTTGACGGCTTGATTAATGCTTGCAACAACTAGCACAAATTGATGATTTTTGTTAATGCATGCATTCAGTCTGTGTTTTAAGTCTTCAAACACACTCACATTTTCTGCACAATGTAGGATTAATGTAAAATTTTGCCGTTAGTTTAAATTCGACATACAATTCAATTAATTATTCATTAGTTCTTATAAAATGAATAGTACGAAATCGATAATTCGTTTTCCCCGTTTAATTAATCCATAAAATTTGTTTATTTTCTGTTATTCATCTTATCAATATTCAATGGTTAAATCAAAATAGAACATGTTATTTCGGATTTTCGCATAATTGAATATTTTGTAAAACATTGTTACACTTTTACGCGGTGAGAGATGTTAAAACGTTGTTTTAAAGAGATCACGATTTAACTTGGGGTACTTCGCTGTATTGAATTTATATTATGGCAGATAATTTTGTGAATTTCACATGAGAGTTATTTCGGCGGATGGTTACAGCGCCAAAACGAACGTATCGCTCGAGCACATAAACCAATTCGCGGCAAAATTGATCGAGCTCGAGGGATAAAAAATACTTTTTTGTCGGTTGAAAATGGTTGTAGTGAAGTAGAGAGGCGAGTGTACCGGTTTCGCCGCCGGTTGATCCTGTCAACAAGGTACGTTGAAAGTCTGTAAGCCGCTGACACGTACATGGCACGTACACGCGCACGCGTGACCGATAGATACGTAACCAAGTTGCCCCCACAAATGTACTCGCACCTCTGAAAATTCGAGCTTCGCAGCATCCGCGAGTACAAACAAATATTTGCTCGCCTCGTATTGCGGCAATCTCTGTTCAGAGATGCCTCTATGGAAATTTTCATGACATGCGAGCCCTTTTGATCCCCGGTATTCCAATCTGCAGTTAATCGTCCGGACCAGTTTGGCGATATATATATATACACTTTCGAGTGACGATCGGGAGTGTTTGCACGTCCAGCGGATCTTTATACGAAGAACTGGATATCTTTAAAAGGAAAATGTCTTTAGAGTGTAAAAATAATAATTATAATATAAATTATAATATAAAAATAATTATTATAATATAAAGATTCTAAAATATTTTATACTACGAAATTTCTCTCAACTTTTCGGCTTTTTGAAAAAAAGTTTTTCTTTCTGAATATACATATTTCGCGACGAAAGAAAAATGGTGAAATACGAAATGACATTGATACTTTTCATGAACTTCGCTTTCATCTCAAAACTTCTGCAGATATTTGCCAAGGTGCTACAATGTTTAAACCATGCGTTACTAGAAAAAGTTTTGAGTAAAAGTTATCCATTATGAAAAGTTTTAAAATAGGTAAAAGTTTATCCCTCTGCTCATTCCTTTCCACGAGACCTGTTTTTTTCCTTTTTGAATTATATCACGATTTTCTCGAGTTTCCTAAAGAGACTCGAAACTTTCATGATGCGATTGTAATTATTATAACATCGTTGCTGTTTACGACCTGGTAAAGCGAAACAAGTATTTTGCGCTCGTCGCTCACTTCGGTTT